GACTTTTTCATCAAAAAAATTTTTTTTTCAGAATTCTGAGAAAAAAGTCTGAATTATGACTTTAATCTCAGAATTCTGAGGAAAAAAAGTCCGAATTCTGACTTTTTTCTCAGAATTCGGACTTTTTTCTCAGAATTCAGACTTTTTCATCAAAATTATTTTTTTTCAGAATTCTGAGAAAAAAGTCAGAATTCAGGAAAAGAAGAAAAATAAGACGTGCCCACTTTTTTTTCCCCCAGTGGCCCTAATCCTCTTCCGTAATCAGCAAACTGCAAGAGAGCAGGTGTTATGTAAAGTAATACAAGACATTTATATACCAGCTAAAGTAGACACATCCTGATAACAGCCACACATGAGTGCACATACACGTGGCGAAAGGGTAGCTCTGAGACATTCTGTTCATTCCTGTCACATCAGTGCTGATAACCTGAGGTCTGCTGCATGTGTGCCAAGACTAAACACGCAACACTCGAAGGCCCCGAGTGCATAAACAATGTTTGGGAGCCATAAACTTCTCAAACTAACAACCAGATGCAGAAGTGGAGCCACATCAGTAGAGATGCACCTTGTGCTCCCTGTGCTGTGCCAGTTAGTATTTCAGTATTGTAATCGAGCCTGAATAAAGCATTAGATCTCTTTAACATCAAATCACAGGAATGTCATGCTTGGAAATCCAAGAAATCTGGAACATTGAAACAAAAATTTAAAAAAAATTATTTTAAAAATTATCTTTCAAGAGTTTTTGAGATAAATTCTTGAAAGAATAGTTGTAAACCAGCTACGGAGTTTTTCCTTCCCACTTTTGCCAAAGCGCTGACACATAGTTGGTCATCTGATTGTTGGGGTTTTCTCTGTATTACTGTACTCTTTACCTTATAATATAACTGTTGTAATTTGGCGCTATATAAATGAAACTCACATTCATTTATTTTCATTGAGCATTTAATCCACTACACAAGGCAGCATCAAGTCTGAGTTAGTTCTTGGTTTAAAATATATGTAATGTGAAAAATCTATTAACAGATTTGTTCTGTGCAGACGTCATTGTAGTTGTCACTCAAAGTAAATTGCATAACTGCATTATTCGGTTGTTGCCATCAAAATGTTGCAGCAGAAACGGACCACGCAATCAATGCCCAGGCTTCTTTGGCCTAATTTTGTTGAGCCTTTCCTGTTCTTAGTTTGCATTCGGTTTGGTCTTCTGCTGCTGTTGCTCGTCTGCTTCAAAGCTCAACGTGCTGTGCATTCAGATATGCTCTTCTCCTTGTATGCAGATGGCAAGAAGTGGTTATTTGAGTTACTGTTAGCTTTCTAACAGCTCAAACACTGTTAATTCCCCTCAGACCTCGACAAGACCTTTCACTCAGAAAACAAATGCTGGATTTTTTTTATTTTTGCCTCATTCTCTGTAAACCCTAGACTTGGTTGTGTGGGAAAATCAAGTTTTTCAAATACTCACCAGAACCAGTCTGGCATCAGCA